TTGGCTTGGATTACATCTGCTTTAGGCAAAAGCTAATCAATAAATTACATTTGTTTTTTTTTAAGAGCATATGTATATGTATTTATGCAAGAGTTTGTTTGTTTTGTTCCTAGTTTTTTTAAAGCAATTTACGCATTTACATTTCCCTAACATTAATAAAATATTATAGCAGATTTGGTCTAAAAAAAAGAAAAAAAAAGAAAGCTTTTTTTTCTATACCCGCATGAAAAAGTTGGAGAAATGTTGACGCCCTCTTGATAGCCGACGTCTGCTTTTGGCGCTGCGTCTGCTGCTGCTGCTGCTTCTTCTTCTTCTTCCTCTTCTTCATCTTCTGCAGGCATGTCCAAACACGTTAGGCCATCAGCTGACACAACACAGCAGACAAACAACAATAGCAACAAACAAACGCTGAGCCCGTCAGACAGTGTCTTATGTCACTGTCCATTAGACGCCAAAGTAGAGCCAGATCAAGAGACAGAGGGTGAGTGGGAGAGAGACAGCGAGGGGCTGCTGGTTCTTTAAGCTGCCTATTGAATTGCTAACGGTTGCAGGAATATTCATCGAATCGCTATGGACCTACTAGGCTTGGTCCCCAGGCATGACTTATGCGAAATATAAATTTCATGGCTGCTTGAGCGCGAAAACACTTAGACAAATTAAATAATGCGCATACGCCATGTTGTGCGGCTGTTGAATTCAACAAATAGAAATTATAACACAATATTTGTCATTCACAGACAATTTAACAGATTCCACGATGATGCGCCACTTCTGCCAAGGCATTTTATGATTATTGACTTGACTCGACTCTCGCTTTTTTATATTTTCTCGCTTCGCGTTTTTTTGTTTTTTGTTTTTTTATTTTTGTTGTACTTGTTTTTTGTTAGCCGCATTTCCGTTATGTCTTATGGCTTTTGTTTGTTTCAGCATTTTGAGTATTTATGCCTGTTCTTTGCTTAGGGCTTTTGCTTCCTTAATTCAATCGCTTGCTTCAGCTGTTCGCCCATTTCACTGGTGCTAAGTAAATAAGTTTTATGACCTTTTTTTCGCTCGTGCCTTGAGCTGGCTGCGTCGTAAAATTGCGAATGCCACTGCCTTATGCTTGATTGATTTCATGCCAAACTTGCCCTCGAATTGGCAAGGCTTGCATTCATCTTTTTTTTTCCGCCCTCTTACGGGCAAAAATTGACACGCTAGAAGCTTAACGCTGTAGCTGCTTATTGTTGGTGTTTAGAAAACCATAAAGTTTCCTCTCTTTTTATTATGATTGATAATTACGCTTGAAGTTAAAGTTTTTAAAGGATTTGATTGGATTTGATTCTTAGACAGTGTAGAGCTGCCTCTCTAGGCACTCTCTATTAATGTTGACTGCTTGGTAGTGAAATTAATAAGCTAAGTTTACTTAGATTCTCGATTACCTAAAAGGGACAACTTCAAAGATGACTCG